TAATCCTAGGCTTTTTCACCCTTTTGTCCCTTATTAATTAATTAATAACCATTTTGCCCCTGATTCGAAACTATTTATCAATCTGTCCCTCTTTAGTCGACTACCTTGAATTTTTAATCGACTAAATGGCCAAAACAGACAAAAAATGGCTGCTGGGAGATTTAGTCGACTAAATCTCCCTATTTAGTCGACTAAATCTTCATATTTGACAAAAAAAAAAAAGTCAGTATGATTTTAATCGATTAAGTAGGGAGATTTAGTCGATTAAATCTTCCAACAACCGTTTAGTCGATTAAAAATGCAAGGTAGTCGATTAAAGAGGGGCATATTGGTAGATAGTTTCGAATCAGGGACAAAATAATTATTAATTAATTAATAAAGGGCAAAAGGGTGAAAAATGATTCATAACTTTGTTAGTGTGCTGTTGGCCTATGTTGCCTTTGGTCTATGTGTTCCTGCTCATAATTTTATTTCTAACTTATTACTAATTTCTTTTTATTTTTTTTTAAATAAAATTATTTTAATTAAAAAACGTTTTAAATTTTTTCAAAGGGTTAAATAATTTTTTTGATCTTTTATAAATTAAAAGAATTTTTTAAAAAAACTTAGAAAACCTCTATATCAAAAAACTATTATTTTATTTTTTTTAACTTTATCTAGATTAACCCTTATTGATTGTATGGTGAAACTAAAACTGTATCCACGAAGATGTGAGCCCTAAATTCATATTATAAAACTATTAGTTCATTTAAATTCATATTTATTTTATATAAAACTAGAAAATTTATGTTTTTTTTTTCTCGATTTCTGTAAATAAATTAAGAATTATAAATATTTATCATGTCATATTAATTAATTAAACTAATAAAATTAATTCAATGAATTACAACCAATGTTATATATTGATGTAATCTATAAACTTTTAATATATAACTTAAATAATTAAATATGTTTTACTAATCTCTAATCAATTAAATTATATAAATCATTATATATTAATTTTTTTGCATCCAATAATATATAATCACAAATAAAGAATACATACAATCAATTATACACAAATTCATGATGAATATCAAAGTTTACATCTCATAAAAAAAAATATTTTGTAAATTCATACATAATTTTATAATAAAATAATAAATTATATGTTTTTAATTTTTATGGATAGATTAAGAATATAATTTGATATTCTATCATAATAAATCATACAAAATACAATATAAATTATTGTGGGATAATATCTGATATATATTTTCAATTAAAATTAATATCATTATATGGTCCTAGAACTCAATATATAAATATTAACTAACTAAAGATGTTATGACCTATGACTACTCGTTAATTATTTATAATTATATGGATCGTTCAACATTAATTAATTTCTAAATTTATATCATTGTTATAAACCGCAAGCAATAACATTAAATATTCGTATACTATATATTCTCAACATAATATAATATGCATAATAAAATAATAAGTAGTACCTGTAATGAATAAGTAAAATGGAAGCACATAAATTATAAAGAAAAAATGTTTTTAATGCAGATAAGTTATTTGTATTTATTCCCAAAATGACGTCGTTTTGGTATTGAAATCTTAAAAAATTATAAATATAAAGACTATTATAATTCTGAAATAAATTAAAATTACAAAAACACCATGATTTCTGCCTCAAAACGACGTCGTATTGAACTTACAACAGATAACTTATATGCAATAACTACATAAAAAATAACCTAAATTATAAATATATAATAATAGCATAAACAGCCGAGTTGGTACCGTAAAAACACAAAACAATTAATGCCAATAGCCAATTACATAAGTTATAAGTAGTGTAGAAGGACACACCAATTTAAAGTAATTTGTGCCACACAATTAATGGATAATACATTATTGCGATACATGCACGAGTAGATAGGCATAATATGACATTTAATGCAATGCTAATCACAATATATAGCGTAAAAAACCAAATAAATCATAAATCAGTGGTTCAAGAATGAAACAACTATCGTTTAGCTGAACCTGGATGACTCCCGCACGCGCAATTCATGCATTATGCAAATGCAATTTGAATAATTTGATGTTGAAGGTAGAATATTGTCCCCACAAGTTAATATTTGTTTTCAAGCTAGGACGAGCAAAATGGCAGAGAGGGACAGACCTATGTTCAGGTGACAGTAACCAAAATGTCACGCTTTGGCAAAAAAATTATCAGAATGCCACGCGAATAGTAAAATTTCTCAAACTGCCACGCGGCATAATTCGCTACACAGTGTAGCGAATTATGTATGCAAGTAATTCGCAACACAGTGTAGCGAAATATGCCACGTCAGAATGTACGGAACCAAAAAGTGACATCTGTCATAATTATTGAAATTCGCATAGCGAATTTCAACAATTTTGACACATGGTACTTTTTGGTTCTGACGTGACATATTTTGCTACACTGTGTAGCGAATTACTTGCATGCATAATTCGCTACACTGTGTAACAAATTATGCTGCGTGGCAGTTTAGCAAAATTTACTATTGACATAACGGTCTGATAATTTTTTCGTCCAAACGTGACAAAATGATCATTGTCCCCATGTTCAGCTTCTGGGACATTTCAAAGGAAAGAATCTCAAGTTAATGTCATCATTTCGATGATAGCAGAGCAGAACACTGAAATTGGGGGTCTGAGTTTGGGTTTATTAATTATACAAATATAATGATTTCCAATCTAGACTAACATATTGTTACTACTTAATTATTATTAGTATATTTTAACAGTTAATAAATGTAAATTTTAATATTTTAGTTGCATTTATATATTATTTCTAATTATCTGAGTTAGGTGAGAGTGATGAGTATTACTGAACCACATTCGTAATACCTAGAATTAGATCTAACAACTAACTAGTAGACAAATTTTAGGTTGGTAGGCTGCATTAAATAAACGAAAAAAACCATAATATGGAAACATTTTTAAACAGAGTAAATTAGTCTTTCTTCCATTTTTTAAGTAAGGGGAGTAAAAAATGGAACTTGTAACATCCTTTTAGAAATTAGACATCGCACTTGGTTTTGTTGTTATTACGTATTTTACATTATGACGTAAAAGATAATACTTCTCATATCTAGTGTGCTAATATGAGTAAACAAAGTTAAAAATACTTGAATTTCTAAAATGTTTTACTTCAAAGTAAAAGTGATACAATGTATCACAAAAAAAGAGAGTAAAAGTGATACAACAAGCATACAAATTCGGCGGTTTATGGAAACAAATTTATTTTGGTTATCTTTGTTCAAAATCTTTTTTTTAAATCAAATTTATTTTACAAATATTTTTCAAAATTTTACATGAGTCGTTCAGTAAACATACGGGTCCCGTTATAATTTTATCTTATAGAATTTGTGGGGATGTTTCTAAGTAAGCAGAATCTATTTTATACTCAATTTAAGTGTTAAAATGTGTAATGATATTTTAAAGATGGATTTGCGGTTTTATTATGATGGCTTCCATTCTTTGAAATTTTTATTCCATGCCGAAGTATTGATGATAGATATCATATGATTTTACTTTAATGTTACAGTCATTTTAAAACATAAGAGCATTGTATCCAAAAAAAAATAAAAAAATAAGAGCATCTTTCTTTTTCTTTAAATACATGTATATTTTAACGTGGCCTCGCGTATATAATAAAGTGTGTTGATTTTTTCTACAGTGAAGTACGTTCCATTGTTACATGGGGTTTACATTTCTGCAGCTGCTGTACGTACAACAATCAAATACTTGCCGTATATATACTTGAAAGCATTAAATGCGAGAAATCATAACCATACAAATGATGAAAACATTAAATGTAGAAAATCATAACCATACACCTGTTGTTGCTATACGTAAAGCAGCCGCAGAAATAATTTTACCTTGTTATATATATATATATATATATATATATATATATATATAGACGTAGGATCCTTAGACACCAGTGTCAAATTTGAAAATTGACACCTCATCTGAAAGTCATTAGATCAAAAAAAGATCAACGACTCTGATTTGTAAGCATGTGACACCATTGATCTAATGGCTCTCAGATGTGGTGTCAAATTTCAAACTCGACATTGATATCAAAATGATCATACCTCATATATATATATATATATATATATATATCACAAAAATATGTGACTCGGGATATGTTATTTTACTAGAGAAGGATATTGTAATAACTAAGTTGTATTACTACTATATTACTACCAATCAATCTCACTGTTAGATCGATTATGTTGATCCAACGATTATATGTATTTCCATCTTTGTATGGTTATGATTCCACATATTTAAAGTGAAAGCATTAAATATGAGAAATCATAACCATACAAAGGTGGAAATAAATATAAAATATTAATTTGAAAAATCATGGTCATACAAAGATGAAAATAAATATAACCGTTGGATTAACATAATCGATCTAACAGTGAGATTGATTGGTAGTAACTTGGTAATAATACAACTTGGTTGTTACAATTACAATATCTTTCTCCTATTTTACTTACTTTTTTTTTTTGTCTATCACTCTAAAAGATAATTAGATCAGAATCTTAACTAACATTTATTTTTCTCTCTCATCTTTAAATAAGTAGAATAACCTATCTCGTGTGATTCATACTTTCATTTTTTTAGTAAGACCCACGTCATTTTATATTTATAAAATGAGACAAATTATATAATTTAAAATCACACACGCACTATTCTCATACACTAACCCCATATACTAATGACTTGCCGTAAACTAATGGCACACACACTACAAACAAAATAGAGGCAACAATTTAAAAATCAGCGTGGTATCATGTTACTCAAATGTTTTTTAATTTAGACCGTAATAATTGAGGTAACAACTTAAGAATTCAAATATAGAATTCCGACCAAAGCAACAAAGATTTAAAAATGGCAGCTACAGAGACTTCTTCACCAATCAGAATCACAACCTACTCCTGTTCCTAAATTTTCAATCCTATGTTTCAAACTCTAAGCTGCAGAACACAACACCCAATGGACTCAACTGTAATCCATGTAAAGTCCCTCTGCAACAGTTTCCTCCTTAGTTCTCCTACCCTTTTCACCTATAACCCAAAGAACTTCAATTCCATCACATTCACCAGGAGGAGCTTTGCCAAAAAGTCTGGTGCTTTTTCCAAAATCATGGCTTCTGCTACACCTACAGCAACACCCATCACCTTTGGGTTCAATAATTTGATGGAAACCTTCACTGTTGATGTGCATAGAGCAGAGAATAGGCCATTGAACGTGCCCTTGATTGCCCCTTTTACCATTGCTACCTCAAGATTGGAGAAGGTGGAAAACGTGGCCATTAGAGTTGAGTTGAGTAATGGTGCTGTGGGGTGGGGTGAGGCACCAATTTTGCCTTTTGTTACTGCAGAGGACCAACCCACGGCCATGGCCAAGGCTTCTGAGGCATGTGCCTTCTTGTTGAGATGCCCTGCACTAACATTGGGTTCCATGTTGGGGGAGATTGGTGGTATTCTCCCAGGACATGAATTTGCTTCAGTGAGTGAGATTAATCTGTGTCTCTCTTCTTGCACTTTTGAAATTGACATGGCCCCCCATTTTTTGACATGACCCTTTAATATACAAATTCCTTGAATTTTGAATGAAAGCTTTAATTTTCTACAAATTTTGAGAAAAAAATTAGACCTTCAATTTTAGCTTTGTATTTTATAATATTTACTTGATTGACTTTTCCCTTTGTGTAATTTTTGTTTTCCGCATATGCTTTGGTTCTTTTCTTTACTTGATTTTGAGAAAATCTTTTTACATCCTTGCTTGTTTTAAAGTTGCTAGCTTTTTCTGTTTTGGAATCAATATTGAGATAGTTAAAAAGAAAGAAGGAAAAAGAGTCTTTTCTTAATGCTTTCGTTTTAACGATCATGATCTCTATTCAGGGTTGGTCTCGGAGACCAAAACTGGGCCAAGGATTATGACAATGTTGAGAATAAAGTTATTATATGTCTGGACTCTGGCCCCATGAAATTCTGCATCATTTTATATGTGCTTCATCTCCAGCTAGGTTGAAATTAAAGATCTTTCTAATGAAATGGATTGGCTGGTAAAATTAATTTAAGAGAATTTACCAACCTCATAAAACTAGTTATTTGTCTACAAAATCTCATTCTAAATTAGCCAAGAAGATTGTGTTTGCCCTGGAGTCTGGACTAAGTCTTCCAGGGCACTCTCAAGTGTAGTTGCCAACTTGGCATAGTATCATTTCTCTTTGTCTGATTTTGTTTTCTGGGGCATTCTTCCCCTGATTCTGCAGTTGCTCATGGTTAATTGTAAAAAAAAAAAAGGACCTAGTTGGGTAGAATTAACTCTATGGATCTAGTCATCTTGTACACTTCTTTAATTAAAACTAATTTTTGTTAAAAACTTTTTTTTCCTGATCAGTTTCGATTTCAGATGCTATTGAATCAGTTATCATTAGATTGCAAGTTTGTGAAATACCCTCTTAGTGCTTGTTTTTGTAGAAATTTCACTTTCAATCTACCTCCACAATTTGATCTTCACACTTTTGGAGTAGAGTTTTATAAACATTCAGCATGTTGCTTCAGCAACTTTGTTCTCACCATGCTGGGAGCATTGCCCAAAACAACATGCAGTACGGTGAGAAAAACAAAAATTTATGGTACTACCCTAGCATTGCTGTGGATAAAAGCTGAGGTACTGGGTACTTGGAATGGCCAAGGGAAATGACATATTAAATTGGTTAAAGCAGCTCAAGATTGTTAATAAGAGTCTTATAAATATCAGAGCATTGATACACTATCGACAATTGCTGTCCTTGTTCATGTTTTTTCTTTTTTATTTATCTTCAGAGTCTCCTTCATTTTCCAGAAGACTCAGATTAATTGACATTAGTAATTCTTTGGCATTTTCCATAACATTGCATTTAACCTCTTTTCTCCATCTTTATTTTATTTTACGAAATTTGTTATTACTTTTTTATGGAGAAGCGCTCTTGAAGTTGAGATTTTGCAGTGAATATACTTAAAAGGATTCATAAGAAATTCATGTTAGCTTTGGATGTTTTACTTTATTGCTCTTGAAGGAAGAACTGACTAATATATGAATAAGGTTGTAAAATTATAGCAGGAAACTACATCTTTTAGGCATTGCAAATTCTACTACTTATGTTTTGACTTCATTGAATTTTCTTAATAACTGGCAGCAGAACATTTTTTTTTTCTCATGGGGTCTATGTAATATTGAAGGTTAGGGCTGGGGTGGAGATGGCGATAATTGATGCTGTAGCAAATAGTATTCGTGTGCCATTGTGGAGGCTTTTTGGTGGGGCTTCAAATACCATAACCACTGATATAACAGTTAAGTTCTTATAAATGCTTATGATGAAAATAATTTTACAAAAATAAGTGAAGACATTATCTGATAGAAATAAGTCTAAGCCAACTTGTATATGCAGATCCCTATTGTTTCTCCAACTGAAGCAGCTGAATTGGCTTCTAAGTACTATAAAGAAGGATTTAAGACTTTAAAGCTGAAAGTGGGCAAGAATCTGAATGCAGATATAGAAGTGCTTCAAGCTATTCGTGTTGCCCATCCTGAGAGTCAATTTATTCTCGATGCTAATGAGGGCTATAACTCTGAGGAAGCAGTGGAAGTTCTTGAGAAATTACATGGTTAAAAGCTATACAGTTAAATTTTTTTCTCTGTCCTACATATATGATCAAATGATTGCACACATGCACCAATATACCCATGCAACTCTATTGCAGTATTTTGGGCAATTTGGCTAGGAACTTAGATTTATTTTTTTGTATTACAGAAATAGGATTGACTCCTGTTCTGTTTGAGCAACCAGTTCATAGAGATGATTGGGATGGTCTTGGATATGTTAGTAACATAGCAAGAGAAAGATACGGAATATCGGTTGCAGCTGATGAGAGCTGCAGAAGTTTAGTTGATGTTTACAAGATAGCCGAAGGGAATCTTTCAGATGTCATTAACATTAAGCTTGCCAAAGTTGGGGTTGTGGGTGCCCTGGATATCATTGAAAAGGCAAAAGTAGCAGGATTAGATTTGATGATTGGTGGTATGGTTGAGACAAGACTAGCTATGGGTTTTGCTGGCCACCTTGCTGCTGGCCTTGGGTGTTTTAAGTAAGTATCATTATATTTGAAAAACTTGAGCCTTTTTTCAGTTTTTATAACTTCAAATTGTTTTACCTTTGTATTGTTCACCTGGTATTTTATTAATACATTTAAATATTGCAAATGCTTTTGTAGGTTCATTGACCTAGACACACCACTTCTGCTGTCAGATGATCCAGTTCTTGAAGGCTATGAAGGTATGCACTGTGTAATATCCATATATTGCTCCTAAATTTTAGGTTTTAATGTAAAGAGTGGTTTGATTGATCTCTTTGCAGTCTGATGACACTAAGATATTTCTTTGAACAGTTTCAGGTGCCACTTATAAGTTCACAAATGCAAGGGGACATGGTGGATTCCTTCATTGGGACAATATTGCTTAGTAAGTTATGATTTTCTTGCACAATACCAACTCCAGTTAGTGCAGCATAGCTGCCAACATATACCAGGTGATTCCTGGTATAAGATTCATGTGATAAGAATGATATACACCTTAAAAAGAATTTAAGCTGTTCAAACCTTATACTTGGTTGGAAAGCAACATAATTGTTAAAAGATATAAAAACAATCTTAGACTCTTTACCTAATAGCTTAAACTTTTAGGAGAGATGGTCTTTAATTTGGCATCCGAGCTTCTATTACTAAGTGGTTAAGAGTTATATTGTTGTTGGCCTGTTCTTTATAATTAAGTTGAATTTTAGCACAATATAGAATGAGCCTGTCCCAATACGAGCTTCAAGCCCTCTTGAAAATAATAAACCTGAGGTACAAACTTGTTGTAAAGAACCAATTCAACCCAAAAGTTTAAGCTAGTGGGTGAGGGTTTTTTAATGGTTTATCCTATTCTCTAACACGCCCCCTCACAAGAGAGCCCATTGAGTTTGAAAGGTGGATGATGTATCAGGCCCAGCTTACCTGTGCTAAGAAATTTCACAAAAAAAATGGGGGGAGAGCAACTAGGATCGAACCCGTGATACCAAGACTCTGATACCATGTAAGGAATCAATTCAACTCAAAAACTTAAGCTAATAGGTGAGGGTTTTATAATGGTTTATACTATTCTCTAACACTTGTAAAGCCAAAATTTCCAACTACTCACTTTTTATCTCAATAATGACAAAGTACTTCTTTTGGCCAAATGGAGAAAATGATGTTTTGAAATTTGGACATTGATGGTATCTGTTAAAAAATGTTCTTCATTCCAACGAATCATATTAAATGTTTGTATTTTTGTATCCATATCATGAAATTATTTGTTTTTTTGAGCGTGGATGATGGGTCATGATCTTACTTATCATGACTTTTATTATGCACGCTACCTTCATTAATAACATCTTTATTAAATTATTTGCAGACATTAGAAATGTTTAAGCGTAAATGGACAAGTTGGTCAGAAGGTCAGACCCCACAAAGAGCTATCTAACAAATGAATAATAATCGCAGAAGGGCTTAATGCATGAAAAATAAGGTGTGCAGTTATGATGTCTATGGTGGTAATTACAATAACAGTCATTAGTGAATATTTGTTGTTCAGAATGAGTAGCTAGCTACTAATCTACAATTGCTATGTATTTGACGTTTTCCATTCCTCCCCAGTTTCTGGACAAGAAAAGAGGTCTTGCACCGATTAGTAACTAGTTTAACTTATTCAATGGATGCAAGTTATAGTTTACATTTGCAAATCAGAATCATGGTTTATTCTATATTTAATTTCCATTATAATAGAATAATACTAATTACATACCAGTACCACTGCTTTGTATGTGAGTGTTACACACAGAGAGAGAGAGAGAGAGAGAGTTGGTGAGAAATATATGGCTGAACTAAATGGGGTCATCTTAATTAGTATGGTCATGTGAATTTTCTTTGGACAAATCAGAAAAGCTTATTTCACTGCTTCCTTTTTTTTTTATAACACACTTAGTTGCTGTGACTTGCTAATATAGTAAATATACATGTGGTCATATGCCAGAAATGGAAGAACATCTTTGATACTACCATCGCATTGAATATTGGGTACGACTCCCTCCCGTTCAAAATGAAATTACATATTATGTATTTCGGAGAATACATAGGTATAATTTTTTTTCTGTCATTCTTCAGGACACGTGTTATATTTTTATTGGACGAATGTAGGTATTACGGTAGTATATTAGAAATTACGGAGAAATGGGACATCTACTAGTAATTACCATTAAATTCTGTGAAACGCCAATCCGTGTGCGTGTGAACCACTTGTGACAACTGGAAGGGATTCTAAAAAGGATGCTACTGTTCATCAAAAAATAAATAACTCAATAACTAAATAAATGAAAGTTTTACATTCGAGTTGTACCCCAAAAAATGGAAAAATAAATAACGAGCCCGTAGTCTGTTAGCAGCATTCATGTTAAATGACATCTTTCAAATTCACCAACAGAAAAATTCTGCATAAATACTTAAGACTAACTAGGAAAGAAAATCTGGTATAGGATATCCAAGAATGAAGCCCAAATACTTGAACACTGATTTCATGTGTTAATTTGTGCAATGCAAATATTGATGCTATTTCACAAGTTGATGTTTACTATACTAATACAATCAAAGCAACTGCTTGGATATACTCCATTAGATATAGCATCTTTTATTAACTTCTTTTGGAACTTAAACCACATAAATTATCATTAATGATGTAGCAATTTATAGTAAAAAATATAGTGGTGAAATTAACTTGGAGTTTGGTCTGAATTCCTGATTTGGGAGTAATTCAAGAGTTCCTTGATATTAGAGTTAACTTTTCTTATCAACCCCTCGTTGTTTACTATCAAGTAATACTTGTAAGCTAAACAAGTGAGACTGCAAAATCTCACGGTAGAAGACAGATTCACAGGGTTAAAAAATATGTACGAAAAATAGTAAAAATGTTGCAAATTGTATTTAAGTATCTTTTCCTATGTGCTCTTTTGACTTTTATCTGTATATTGGACTTCATCTTGTCATCCATGAACATCGTCCACTTTTGCAAAAATTTCTTTTTTTTTCTTCCAGAGCATAGTCAATGGGTGGAATTTGCGTGATAATTTATTGAGGTGGAACATCGTCCAATTTTCTTCAAAAGGATTTTAATAGTTCTCAATTTTTGTGATTTTATGGCCATCACTTCAATGAACGCAAGTTTTTTTTTTTTAAGTACATATTGAACGCAAGTTTAGACCTTCAAGGGTCGTAAAATAGATATGAAATTGCAGTCATTAAAACAAAATTGTCGCCAAAATTGAATTGCTTGCAAGAATCACCTGTATCTCTGTTTATGTATTGGGTGCATACTAATGAGAGAAAAACGTTGTCCAACTCCAAAATAATATAATGGTTCCTTACATCATACATAATACCAAAATTAATTTCCATGTACAAGATTTAGTGGTACTTACATCAAACATAATTTGTTACAAATTTAGAAAGTTTGTTATGTGATTCCAGCCCATTAACCACGGCCTCTTATCAGTTGGAAGCACAAAATTCAGTTCAAACATCTCCTTTGACATGTTGCCTCCTTCACAAAAGCCCACAAGCTTTGCAACTATTTCAGCACTCTCCTTTACATGATGGGGATCTTGAGGATCTGTCCAGAGCTTGCTCACGAATTGCATCCTCCTCTGCTTCCCAACAAGTGGGACATCCCACTTCATGTACAATGCATCCCTCTCCTCTGGCGTGAAACGTGATGTCAATCTCTTACCAAGGAATTCTCTTTCTCGTTTCAAGGCTGTGATACTGTATATTATAAAATTTATAATCAATAAAAAAAAAATCCCTTTCATAAATTTCATTTAGTGTTGGAAAATAGATAAATATAGATTGATATAGAATACAAACACAGAGAGAGAGAACCTTGATGACAACGAGGTAGTTGGTTCATCCCCAAAATGAGCTGGGGTTACATTCCCAACTTCTGCTAAGTGCTGTTGCAACCACGTCAAACGCCTTAGCTCAACTTCTATATATATTTGATCAGCTTGGTCTCCCTTAAACAACAAATAAAATTGGGTCCTATGAATTATGGAGACAAAACAAGCATCCCATAATTCAATTATCTGCTGTCGCTGCTCTCTAAATGTTATTTGCCATGAAACTTGGGGTTCCTCCAGTTCACAAGCATATTCCTCATTTTCTATATTGTGGCCACTTGCTTCATTTGCTTCAAGCTCAAGAACCTATATAATGCAAACGAAAGGAAATAAGTGAAAAACTAATGGCAGCACCTAATGTGAGGAATTCTGGCAATGCAGGAATATTTTTTAGTTCATACCTGGCAAACAAGTAACTGCTTTTGGTATTGCAATTTGGCAACGCGTTCCTTCAATTCCGTGACATATGCTCTTATACTTCTTACATTCTCCTCTGCTGCATTCTGAAACATTTTCTGCATTTTCTTCATGTTAACTGAACTAGAGCGTTGATAACCTGAATTGTTTTCCTTGGACGAAACGTCTCCACCTTCACTCTTTGATGGAGTCTCCTCCTTCTCAGACTCTGGTAGATTCTCACTCAAAACAATATCTTCATTCTCAGGAGCTCTATTTTCAATATCAGATTCCAAAACTTGCAGTGTAGCTGATAATGGTGAGCAGGGAGAACTTATAATATTTTGCAGATTGGCAGCATTACTTGAAGCCAAAGGAAGCAACCTTTTCTTTTTGTGTTCCTTTTTCTGCTTAGGCGATGCTGCACCATTTAGCTGTTGATAATTGTTAGGGAGAGACATCACTAGCTTGTCTATAGACCTTTGAACATTCTCAAGCTGTTGCTCAAGATTTGCAATTGTGCTTCCCTGTGAATGAAGTCGAGTAATTTCTTCCTTGAGATTAGCACTGACACTCTTGTTTACAGAAACCATGCCTCCAACTTCAACTTCCTTGGGTGTAGACCTAACAACACACATTTCCCTTATTTCAGCTTGCAGGTTTGCAATTGTCTCAGCTGCATCTTGGTTACCTAGTCTATGATATGCTACTTCCTTTTGTAATACTTCCAAAGCTCGATTAGCTTCTTCCCCCAGTTGCTCCTGGAGTTGCTCAAGTTTGCGAATTTCATGCATAAGGGTAAAAGGAGCCATAGATGATTTTCTCATCGACTGCCTTAATGCTTTGTTTCTTACTCTCTCTGGTTTTGGTGATGATAGTGCACCAGTGTATGAGAGGCACTTCATGACTGATAAATGGGGTGATTCAACTGGATTTGAGACCTGCTGGTCCACCTGAAGCTTCTTGCGTAACTCGTCTGCCTGAGATTCTGCAAGATCTCTTTGGTTTTTCAGTTGTTCAATTTCCATCTCCATCTGGACATAATTAGGTCAACTCAGAAATCGGAGAATATGAAAATATTATTTCTGATAATTCAGATACACATAGGTTAGATTTATACAAAGTAGCCTTGACAAAAAAGGAAATAAACTAATGACAGATCCCATGTTTTTTGGGATTTCCTAATTGACTAGAAAATACAATTAACTCTGCCTAATTCTAGGGATGCATTCTGCACAGAATAGAATATTCCTTAACATAGATAGTAGGATTAGATCACAGTTTTCCAAAGGTAACAACATTCAGTATAATGGGAACATAATCCTGTATTATGGTATTATACATGTTCCTAATAATCAGTCTTACCTGCTGAATTTTGAAATCCTTTTCCCTTGATTGATCAGGAGTTTGCAGCTCTGCCTCTAGCCTAGCTACTTCCTTCTGTAAATGTTTAACTAGCTGCTTGTCTGAAACAAGCTTTGTATAGCATAGATACATTTTTTTAGTAATTTTGAAAAAAAAAAAAAAAAATCAAAGTGATTTTGAACTAGTTACCATGTTAACTTGAGCATTATTTGTTACTTCCTTTGCCCGGGTAGCAAAGAAGAGAGTGTTTCGCGATTGTTCTACATGGCTTAGTGCTGGACTCAGAGTACAAATGATGGCAGTGCGTGCATTCCCACCAAGGGAGTGCTGCAGTATACGTGTGAGCTTTGAATCTCTGTAAGGTATATGACCATTTCTTTTTCCAACACTGCATATGATTATATGAATACAAGCTGTCAGAAGAAAGCACATCACATTCTGTTTGCCTCTGATAAACTATTAGGCCTTAATTCCAATTAATTAAAGTAAAAGTCAATTAATGATACTATTTAATCTGTATTTATCTTCAGTTAACGATAATATGCAAGCTGATAAAAAAAAATTAGCATCAAAAAGTGATTCTATATTACGCATGCATGCGCACATGCATATATATAGAGACACATATATAGTCATGTAAGAAAATGGTCATCAGCTTAAGCAAATGGAAAAATGGTAGAAAGATATTTTCTTTATTGTTTTCCAATTTCAAAGGTGATTTCTGTGAATTGAAGGACAGGATTTGCTGAGAATTGAAAAGGACACGGAGACTACTAAAGGCCAGAAAACTGACAAAACTGTCTCATAAAAGAGTAAATATCGATTATGACCTAAGCTTCCTGATCACAGTGGTAAGAGTCATCAGACTAAGATTAATATGGCAGCCTTCTCTGAGTCTAGTGCCATCTGCTTGTGTCTGTGCAGTCCTCTCACTTCCAGCCAGATCAACGAAGTTCTGCAGCCATTGACGTGAGTTTTTTATTGTCAATGAAGAATAAGGTATGCAATTAGAAGTAAATAAGTATGAAACTTCAATTTACCAGAGTTGCAACCAAAGATCTCACACAATCTGAATTTTCACGAAGTGTACTTTGAATTGTCTGCAATATATATAACAAAAGGAAAATAAAGATGTTTCCATATACCCCATTATTAGTTGAGTGTTGATAAAGAAGAAAAGAGGATTAAATGTAGTAAAACTAACCAGTCTTATTATCTGGTGAGACCGTGAGCTGTTATCATTTAGAGCAGTTTCACCAACCTGCCTTTGAGCTACCAAACAAAAGAAAGTCATTAACTCGAAAACATGTGTTAAAATGTAAGCCAAGGTAAGGTGGTTTTCTTACCTTCACAAATAGAGATCAAATGTCTCAAATGCTTGTCATCATTCGCTGTTTCTTCCACTAATTTCTCGACCACAGTACCTTTCTATATGCAGGTGATTAAAATATCAACTTAGATTTTCAGTGAAAGTAAGCTATTAAATTGCAAGCTCAAAAGAAAACTAATGAGGAGAAAATTAATTCAATGAATTAGGAGACCTAATCTATTCTGAAACCGATCTATTTAAATAAGATCTGAAAAGGCATTTCAAAGATTACCTCGGGATCATCTAGAAGCTTCAGATTGCGACCAGATTCCAAATTCAACAAATCCCTAACATTCTCATTGTATATTTCAAGTCCAGATATTTTTATGGTGAAATCTCTCTCTGGGGTCTGCAACCGTGAAAATATTAGTTTTAATTGAATTTGAATAACTTTCCAAATCATATCTAATCATGGATTCCATGAGTGAGAATAACTGAACGGAGCATTATTTCAATAAATTAAGAATCAAAATCTCCAACCAATGTTGACTACTAGCTATATGGCAGGCAGTCTAGGCAAAACTTACACTTATTATATGCTTATATACATCATTGACAGCCTTCTCTGTTATGCCTCTCATTGTGTATGTCTTTCCACTGCTAGTTTGTCCATAAGCAAAAATAGTTGCTGCAATAAAATAAATACGCAATCATTGTGCAATGCAGAAACACAAACCATAAGGATAGTTCCTGCTTAACATAGTACCAAAACCATATGACAATATGGTCGGAAGTTTAATTCTTGACACCTTCATTGTTCACACTTCAAGCGCAAAGTGCTCTTGGATCAAGCGTATGTTAGAGATTAAAATAAAAAACATTATTACACCTCCACCAAACAGCTGCTTTAATGAGAATTGGTTCAAACAGTTCAAATATATACAGTACCATTAATGCCCATCAATGCAGACAATGCAACATTCTTAACTCCTCCATCATATACTGTCTCAGTCAAACAAGCAGGACCAAAAACTTTATCTGCACAGAGAAAAGTAACATGAAAAAATATTTAAAATCTGATGAAATTATCTCTCACAAAAGGAATTGCTGATATTAAAAAAAATAAGAAAAATGGAACTTTGAATTGATAAATGAGCAAGAAAACTAGTCAGGATTTGATACCAAAAGTAAAAGAGGTTGGTTGAGGTGCATGTTCATGTGCTGGTGGTTTATACACGATCATATGATCATCAAGGCAATCCCATGCCACCTGATCTTTAGCCAAATGCTCCCTTTTGTTCAAAGGCCTTAACCTTACTGTTACCACGATCTTCTCTTCCCTAGCTCTTGGCCCTCCTGGGGTAGACACGGGGCTTCTATCTATCTTTGAATTTGGTGTTCTGACAGTCATCTTCTATTCTAGGAGCTAGAAGTGAAGCAAAGTCAAAAGTGAACAGCAATGATTGTGAACCCCTGCAGGCAATAATTGAGCTTCTTTGACTACTAAGCACCAATAATTCACCATTTTTTGTTATCCAATTTTAAATGATTAGAACATCCCAGATCCTTGCCCCCGCTTAAAAGAAGATTTAAGAGAACAAAATTCAGCTAAAATCTTCCACATGCCTTCTGCTAGATCAAGTTTAGATCTTATCCCCCACTTTTATATGTATCATATTAATTAATTAAGCATGCCATAATCCAAAAAATTTATGCAGGCTTTTCTAATAGATAAAGCCCATTTTGAGCAACTATATACAAGTAACCAAAGTACCAGAATTTTACGCAAAGTAGGGGGTAAATTTCTTGAAATACTTTCTATAAATAATAATAATTATTATAAAAACAATTTATACATGGCTCTCTGACATTCTCTTCTGTATATTTCTTAGACAGTCATCTACCTGAGTCCTAACTATTGTTCAACATTAGCATTGACGTGAGATTAAAAGAAACTAATTCCCATCAAAGTTATAGATTCCCAGTGCTGTAACATGAATTGTATCAAAGTTATAGATTCAAAAAATTTCAAATGCTTTGGATGCTAAGCCCTTCCTCAGTCGATATCAAAGACAAGATTCCAAAAAAACAATAACAGACTAAGTGATGACGAGGCACTAATTAACTCAGAAAAAGAAAATTTTGTCGTAATGTGAATTAACCGATTCAGCGATCATGAACAAACCAGAACTTTAAAAAAAAAGAAAAAAAGAAAGAAAGGAAAGTGAGTGAGTAAAAGATTACAGAAATGGAAATTGCCAAGGTGAGCGTGATAAAATTGGAAAGCTCATGAATGCACACAAATAAGGAAACAGAATAAGCTAATCACGTGGATCACCAGTTTGTTTAATAACTTCTTCTTTAACTCAGATCCGATCCACAGTAAGAAGAAGAAGAAGAAGAAGGTGAAGGTGCAGATTAGGGCGTGAATGTAAAGAGAGAAAACGGGAAGAAGGAGAGCGTCTTGTTCCTTTGAATCAAAACAGATTAGGGGTGAGTGTTGTTGTTGTGTCCTTTGAATTTTGAGCAGGGGAAGGGGACCCCTAACCCAACGGCTACTTTCTTCTTTTCTGCCTATTTTTAATATTTTGTTTTATTTATTTTCTCCTGACCCAAGGGTTTTATTTTATTATTTATTTTCGTCCATTGATCTCACTCGTAGAAAAAAAGTGGGCCCCGGGTTTCAAGATCTAAGTTTTTTTCTTTTCCTTTTTTTAAAAAAAGGAAAATTCAAATTTTAATTAACTTATCCTCCTATGAAATGACAAAGGAAAAGACCGGAATGAATTATAATGTTTTAAGAAAATTATATGTATTACCTGATGAACCAGAATCACAATATTAACCTATTATTAACATTAATAGATTATAAATTCATCGCATAATACGCAATATTGAACATATATTTATGAAAAAAACTATTCTGATATTATATAAAATTAATTTTCTCTTTTACACATTTTTCGATAATTATGCAACTTTTTTTTTTCAAATGGTAGGACCCATATATTTGTCTCTATGACATAAGATAACTTATATCTTTTAACATGAAATTAATAACACTCTATATTTATACACAACTATGCCAAGATCGCTATGTCACCCCTTGTTGACTGTTTCTCCTTTTTGTAATTTTGTTTCTCATTTATTATTATTATTATTATTTCTGTTCTTTCACCCCAAGGTATAATTGAATCTCTAAAAGCAAAAATAAACTGTTAAAACTTGTACATAGCACTGGTTTATAAGTGGGGAGAAATTATTGAGAAATAAACAAAAGGGTTTGTTTATGAAAAAATGTACTGTTTAACTTTTTAAAAATAAAAATAAAAATATAGGATTATACTTCTCTTGCTGGATGAGTATTTATATTCCCTTTAGTTATGAGATTAGCATTTTCCTATGAGCAATGCACTTTGTAAGATATCAACTAACAATATAGCTTTTCTCAACGATGTATATAGTTCTCAACAAAATACTCCCACCTTCATCGAGCTAATTATTAACATCTTAAGAGTACAACAACAACAACAACAACAACAACAACATATGCTTATCCCCCACTAGGCATCCCAAACGATTAACATCTTAAGAGTGTAACACTATTTTTAAAAACTACAAAATATTGTACAGTGCCATCTCCTCGCCTCTCACCAGAGCAACATGATAATCCTCAGAAAAATTGGGCCTTGGTACACTGCAATCTGAGTATCTTCTAAATCACAACATCAATATCTGTAAATATTCATGTCTTAAAATTAAAGGGGTCTCAACCATTATTGAACTGAAAAGGCTTGTACAGTCTGGCTTAATCCCACATATCCTCCCAGTGAACCTGTTTGCCATAGCCACTTTTTATATCTATCTTTTCTCCCTTTTCATTAAGGCCCTCCACTTATCTGATAGTTTTTCCCTCATATTAAACAACTTATTTTATTTTATTTTTTGTCATTTTCACTTTAGCAATCTCTATGAATTCTTCGCTTGAGATCAGCTTCATCTTTGTGCTGCTTAGGCATGTTTAGCAGTCCCCACGCCAAACACAATCTCTACAGATGTTGGACTTTTTATCAAGTTTGCACCAAGCAATGAACGCAGAATTTAAGTCTTAGTTTTACCCAAGAGGATGGAACTGACATGTCATCTCATTCAGTTCATCTGAGGTGCGTGCCATGTGATTTAAAGAACTGATAATCAGGGTGATTCACCTGAACTAGCCTTAACCAGTTATCAGCAGTCTGCAAGAGGGAATTCACTAGTTGACTCTCACTAACTCCTTTTTTCATCAAAATAGATCCCTTTAACTTATAGGAAGCCATTGCAAAAGTAGGTATGATAATCTTTGGTATCCCATCCACCTCACTGGGATAAACCAGTGTTGGAGCCTGAGTACGACCACTTCCTGCAAATTGTAATCAAAAGAAATATTTTGAAAATCAATTAGTCCATATTGCATCAAATAGACATTGCATTTCACGTTTTTGAAAGAAAGCATTATTTTTCCATAACAGATGAGATAACATCAACCAGCAAGTTGAGTAATGCGTTATTAGAAGCAGTTTCTGTTTTTCCATATTTGTCAATTTCAAATCACAATATGGTTTTCCCAGAGTATCATGCTTCTATCAAATCATCCTTCACTGAAAGATTAAAAAATTGAAGTTACAAATCACTTGCATTCATTCTGTTCTCAGCTGCACAGTTGACAGCAGGATACTGCCAGTTCAGACAGAAGTTCTGCAGAACTGCCCTCAGATGCTGCCACCTGTGCAGGTGTGAGCAATGCAGTTGTAAAGTATGTGTATCTAGATTTTCCCAAAAGATGATATCCAAAAAAAGGAACATGTACTAAGGTACTCTTGATAAATAAGTTAAAACTTAAAAGTACAAGCTGTAAGCTAGCTTGAAGAAGCTCGGTAAGAAAGAACTTGAGCGTAGTACAAGTGACCAATACCAAGTTCAGATCACATTTTGGTCAAAACATTGGTAAAACTTAAATGCTAAGAAGAAAATCCAATCTGCATAGCATCAAAGCCTCCTGATAATCTACAATTTCTAGAATTGGTCTTGACATAATTAGAGCAGAAAGAAAAAATATCCACCTCGCTCTTTAAGCAGACAGAATTTATAGCACTTATTTCAATGCAAAACACACACATACACAAAAACATAAAGAAGAATATGATATCTGCATTTATAAGAGTGATTTGAGGAAGCTCCTATTACTCTTTAGAGATAAAAAAGTCAAGTGAAAGATTAGAAACGCAATTCACTGAATACATGCTATTGGAACAGATTCCCATCTTTCATATTAGTTGACAAAGGGAATATTATTTTTAAAATGTTCTATTTCTGACAGATATTAAAGGGGAAAAGGAAAGAGTTAACCCCAATTTTTGTCCTCCAAAGATACAGTCATCATGACTTTAGTACTCATAAAAAATTTGTCATCAATTTAGTCACTTAATCATGCAAAGTATCATCAAACCGATCCTTCTTTGAAAGTCAAGGAGAAATGAGAGTAATGGAGTCCTAATTTATGGATAATATTTTGCATGATTGAGAGACTAAATTGATGACACTTTGCATTATTGAGGACCAAACTATTGTTAAAAATCTTTTGGAGGACTAAATTGGTCACACGTTGCATTGTTGAGGGCTAAATTGATGACAAATATCTTTCAAAGACCAAAGTAATGACGCTTGTATCTTTGGAGGAAAAAAATAGGGGTTTACTAGAAGGAAATAATCTAAATATGCACAAGTACATCTAATCTAACAATATTGAGCCAAAATGAGTGCTGTATAGCTAAGATGCCACTGCAGATCAAACGTAGGTTTGAAGTTCCATAATTACCTGTCAAGGGTGTGTGGAGGGTATGGTATGTTAGAAAGCAGGTATCTAAATGTTTTAATGTTGGACCTGTGGGTATTCGATATATAGGATACCTAGAAAATGACATAAAAATATGTTAATTCACTTAAAGAAAAATACAGCATTAAAGCATTAGATCAAATCAATCTTGCAAAAAAAAAAAAAAAAATTAACAAAAAGAAAAAAAAGGAAAAAAAGGAAAGAAGTTAAGCAATAGATCACCATGCCACAGACATCCAACTGCCTGGCAGTAAATCACAACTTCTCAATGACCTGAGGGCAGGATAGTGGTGTGCAAGATCTAATATCTGTCCAAATATTATAAAGTATAAGATGGACTGTTCAGATCAAGGGTAAATAAGACACACATTAATTAAGAGCAGTAATTGCCTTGTCAGTCAGCGGTTCACGGTTATGAGGAGGATCTTGTTCCAAATACTCAAAAAGCAGATCTTGAGGATTCCCAGTTTCACTGTCATCACTAGAAAAGCCTTCTTGCACAGTATTGTGTTTATCATGCATAGACAGCCTGCTCATTTGAAAAGAGGCACCACCTGTCACATATTGACTTCTTCTATGTGCTATAAAACGTTCAATCCTTTTTCCATATTCATAATCACTGCTTCCTTCACTACATGAATCTCTGTAGTAATCACCATCACTATCTTCACTGGTATACCTAATGACATAAGAAAACCAGATCTGGTTGGCTACAGGCTAAAGCATAATAGCAATTACTTTTGTAATGCTTGTGGTTTATAATTGCATAAAAGTGGGGCACAATGAGTTAACATATCACAAAATAGAAAGTAAATTCACAATTACAATGACTGCGTACAGGAATCAGTAGCCAGAGAGAGAGAGAGAATAAAGAAAGAATAAAATAAGGTAAGAAAAAAAAATCCAATATATTGAGATCTAAAATGAATCACTAGTCCATAAAAAGTCAAAATCAATTGATAGTACATGAGGACCAAATTAGAACAATAAATTTATATTTTTAAATTTTGAAGTGTGCTTGGTAAGGGTGAAATATGGATAGAATGCAGAGGAAGAAGTGAGATTTGATAAAGATATCAGACACAACACGCATCTAGATACATCACTTACCTGCACTCTTCTAGTTCAGTTTTATTTCTCCTGTTTTACTTCTACCATACACATTACATAAGAGAACAGATGAAGCATTACAAGGAATCATATCAAATATACGAAGAGAACTCTCAATACCCTCAAATACTGTGCCTTCAATTACCTCAAAACCCATAAAAATTTTATTCACTCTTCCAGCTGACAGCCGATCTTTTTCAACCAATCATATCTAGCAGTTAAAATAAAATCAAAACATGAGGTGCTGCAAACTGCCACTAACCAATTACAGTGTCAAACTTTAGTGACTCTCCAACCACTTAACACATTAACTCATCAATTAATAATAGTGCTACTGAATACTGTCACTTGAAACTCACAAAATCTAATTTAAAAAGCAACTTGCAATGTTGTAACCCAACAAATCTGCTACACACGAATATGACTTCATTACAACAGAAACATGTCCTTCATTAACAGCTTGGACATTGAATAAGTCACCAAAAGAAGGGAAACAAACGCAAGCACATAAAAATATAAGCAAAAGATAGATCTCACACATAATAAGTAGAATATTTTTACATGAAGAAGTTCAGGATCAATGACTATTAACTAAGTGTTGTGTGTGTGTGTGTGTATATCACTAATATCAGTAACCTTAGTAACTTTGTCTTAAATTCCGCCTAAAATGGTTGGAAAGTAAAAGCATGAAATCACTTCGTGAAAGAATGACTTCAACAAATTCAGTGCTTTAAACTTTAAAGCACAATCCCAAACACTTCTCCCCAAAAGTAATCTTAAGTAGAATTAGACATTTAATCCATGAGTAAAATCCTAAAATCACATGACTAATGCTATTCATTCTTCTTTGTTAGGAGGGAAAAGTAGGAGGATCAGAATCGATGCTTAATTAGTCCAAAAATCATAGGAAGAGAAGTGAAAATTAAGAAAGATTTACAGAACAGATCAAAATGAAATGGTTATAATTTATAAACTAATATATTTGAATGTTTTACACATTTCTTTTACAAAACCCCAAGTTACATGTATAAAAGTAGATACTAGTAATCGTAACATTCCTCTTAAGGGTAAACAAATGTCAATTGAAAACAAAAAAAAAGAGTCAAACCATCTCATTTTCTATTATAAACAGTTAATAATATCATCTTCCTCATTTTCACCATTTTGAACTCTTGCAGTTTCAATGTCTATGGCAAGCATAAATTTATAAAGACTAAAACCATATGTGTATTTCTCTTTCATTTACTTTTCACTTTTTCTTTTCACCTTTCAATCCGCACTCATAAAGCATAATCCAATACCACTTAAAATCCATTTAACTAATTTACCATATATATATATAAATAGAAGTATAAATCAAACAAATTACAGAGAGACAGAGCAGAAAAGCTGCATCTATCAACAACTCTACCATGTTTCTAGTGGTTCGTGTTGTCTCAAAGTTACCAATTCTCATGCACATATAAAAAGAATGATTCTACATGTTAAATGCCAATACCTTGGTTTGGCACTGGACTTCTCAGCAGTTTGACCATATAGTTGAATAGCTGACAAATATGGAACATAATATTGAACAACAGATTCACTTTGATCAAGTAGCAAAGGGACTCCTGCTCCGTATGCACTCCATTCCTTAAAGGATTCCCAGAGATCATTCAGGGTGAAGTAAGACTGATACTCGACATCACAAGTCTTCCAACCCCTCATTGTTGTCTACACCCACAACAAAAAATAAAAAAGGAGTCATAAACCATACAGTGATAACAAGAATACCGAGAAACAAACTTTGTACCCGTCTAATTATAACTAAGTATGTAGCTGAATGAAAAAGGGTGAAAGTCATGAAAATTATATGTCCTAAACTTGTCAGCAGTTATATATTCAAAACCAGACCAGATGAAAACAATCAACACTCAAAAGAAAATACATTTGCAACAAGTGTTTCAGCATTTTTAAAACAACCCATAAAAGAGTAAAATTATGGGTTGAAGAATAAAAGGAAAAGGAAAGATGGAATTAGATCAACCTTAGAGAAATACTGAGCTGGGACTAACGGTGTTGTGGACTCCAAGAACCTATCAATATTACTAACAGACTCCACAGAAGGACAAAGAGTTGGTTTTGTTGAGGAGTACAAAGATTCGTTATCCTCAGAAACATCAAGCTTGTTCTTTGGAGTTGAATTTTCACTTTCATTTTCGCCATTCTTGGCTCTCTGAGCTTGTTTACGCTGGTTCTGGTTCTTCCTTGCCTTCACCGGAATGTAAAACCGATCCTCACTACGAACACCCCCAAACTGCAGTGCAGTCCCCAGCATTTTCCAATCTTTTTAACAACTATCTTCTCCTCCGTTTGGTCACTGAGAAAACGGAGGAAAGTATCCAAAACCCAAAATAAAAGTCTTTTTTTTTTTCTCACACTTTTGATTTTCCCAAAAACAAAGAAACCCAGAAAATTTATTATCGCTGGGGTTGAGTTATTGGAAGAGGTTGTGACGATCAATAAGGAGAAACCAGAACTGGAACACTCTAATTTTCTCGGGAAAAAAAGAAAAGAAAAGAAAGGAAAGGAAAACAGTGTGTACCGAATCGGAATCGGCAATGGAAGATAATAAAGAAAAGGGATGAAAGAGAAGATTGGAATGATTGAAGGCGAAGACAAGAACAGTGAAATTGAAGGAAGGAAAAGGAAAATATGTGAAGGAAAGAATAGTGGGGCAGAGGAAGAAGAAGAAGAAGAAAAGCTTCAAATTCAACACTCTCCTTTTACAAGTTACAACAAAACAAAACAGAGAAAAAAGAGAGAGTAGATAATCAAATGTTAATTCCTAATAATTGTTACTGAGGTTTTAAAGAGTGTAATTTATTGGTCTAATTAATCTTTACATTAACAGGCATTGGTTAACGTTCAATTCAATAAAAAAATTATTCTTGGACATTTTAATTTAGAAATTAGAACAGAGTTAGGTACCACTATAACTACTTTCACACAAAAAAAAAAACTAACCCCTACATCATCATAGAAACTTATCATCATATAGGAATACACATCACTATTACATTTGTTCCAACTACAATGTCAATACTTCTATAATAAAGTCAAATAAAATACTAATAGTTTGTCTCATCATCCTATAATTAATCTTTACCTTAAGATTCATTTAGTACCTACTCACCTACGGCTGCGTGCAAAAAACTATTTCACTTTGTTCTGATCTAATACCTATTTTTTGAACTGGTTTAAATACTGACTCATTTTTATTTGGGTCAGTTTTAGACATGACTTATTTTAATAAGGACTCATTGACCCATATCCATTATGTGAAAAAAAAAATCACAATTACATTAAAAGAAAAGTTTTCACGTAAAAAAATTACGTCAAAATTGTTTACAGAAAATATTTCCATCAAAATTTGTGACTAAAAATATTTCTGTAAAAAAATTTGATGGAAATTTTTTTTGTCAGAATGTTTTACGGAATCTAAATTTCGTCAAAATATTTCCCAAAAGAACATATTCATCAAAAATTCCGACGAAAAACATTTCCATAGAAATTTTTTGACGGAAAAAAATTTCATCAAAATTCTTTACAAAATTCAAATTTCAGTGAAATTTTTTGACGGAAACATTTTCGTTAAATTTTTTGACAAAAAAAAAATTTCGTCGAAATTTTTAACGAAACACATTTTCATCGAAAATTTTTGACTAAATATTTTCGTCAAATTTTTTGATTAAAAATATTTCCATCAAAATTTTCAATAGAACATATTTCTGTCAAAAAATTTCATAAAATTTTTTGACAAAAAAGATTTCGATAAAATTTTTTGATGAAAAGAATATTCTATCAAAATTTCTTTAGAGAATCTAAATTTCGTCGAAAGTTTCGAATTAAACATTTCCCTCAAAATAATTTCCGTCGAAATTTTCGTTACAAAAAATATTTCGATAAAAAATTTTGATGGAAAAAATATTCTGTCAAAATTTCTTTAGAGAATCTAAATTTCGTCGAAAGTTTCGAATTAAACATTTCTCTCAAAACAATTTCCGTCGAAATTTTCGTTAGAACACATTCTCATCGAAATTTTGAACGAAAAACTTTCCGTCAAAATTTTTGACTGAATTCTTTTTTCGTTTAAAACATTTGATGGAGGAAATCATTTTCGTCAAAACTTTTGACGGAAATTAAATTTCTATAGAAAATTTATTTTTGTAAAATTTTTCATTAGAGAAAAAATTTCGTCGCTTTTCGAGAAAAAGTATTCCGACGAAAAAATAATTTTGTGACAAAATTTTTGTCGTTTGCAACGTAGAAATTTCGACGAAATTTTGTGACAAAACCAAGTCAAAAACGGGTCAGGTCAGATTTGAACCACTTCAGAAATCAAGTCAGACACACTTCAGAAACCAAGTCAAGTCAGATCCAACCCGGTTCGGAACTAGTTCAAAAAGATTCAAACCAAGTCAGACCTGCCTTGGATCAAATTAAAGTGGGTTGGATCAAAATACCTGACCTACAAAAATCAAGTTGGATCGAGTTGGCACAAAAATTTGACCCGACCTGACCCATGCACAGCAGTAGCTGTTTACCTTCCACAATGGACATGTATAAAAAGGTTTACTATTGATCTATTTTAGGTTCAAAAACTCATATGACCAATTCCATAATTTATAGAGATATAATATTCACAATAAGCAAGGTAATTTAAATAAAAAGTAAATCTGAATTTTTAAGTTTAGAATCTTTTTGTAGTGGTATGATTTAAGTTTAAATAAAATAATGATAGAGAAGAATAATCTCAATTCTTCATTCAAATATTAGTTTCGTACCCCTAATAATATAAGGATATAATGTATTTTTTTATATATAAAAAAAAGTAAGTCAAACAATCAAAAGATTTTAAGCATTAATGGCAATATTATTATTCAATACTCAAATGGGGAAATACATGAAACGTTAAATCTACAATTTTAATTACTTCCATACAAATACAATCATTTTTAACTTTTTAAACATTTTTTTCTGTTATTACGATTACAACTGAAAATTGAAATAGTTTTCCCTTGTGTAGGAAATTATATGAATATGATACTTTGAAGAAATTTTAATAGTCAAAACCATTGACCACACTGGTTGTTTGTGAATTGTGATTGTCAAAACCCTATGAGATCCGGTGTTGTTTGTAGAATTGTAGTCACCACAAACACGTTGAAGTGTTAATATTGAATATGAATTGGTCTGTGTTGTTGCATCAGGGATGACGACCTTGCTCTGTTCCATTACATATTTCCATCTATAATTTATTTCTTTGCATGGCCGGCAGTATGGACTATTTAGTTTAATTTATGGATCCTTCAATCTGAAACCATGAAGAAATGAAAACCCTCCTTTAGATTGTTTTTAATTTAACTTTTCTTGGTTATTGTACTCCACTATTAAATTTCTCTTGGATGCTGCCTGTTATGCCATGTCAAGTTAAACACATATTTATTTGGTCAGATTTTTTATCACAATAAACGGATAGGATTTCTTCTATAAAAACTTTTAGTACCAGAAAATATATTCCCCCGTCCTTATATATCTTGTAGGGGGAAAATAAGATAATTGAGCTTAGACATGCTCATTTTTCTTTTTCCACCATTTCAACTTTCAACTTCCAACCCTACTGAATTGAAAAAGAAATTATCAAATGAAAATACTTGTTTGCTTATTTTTTTGAATATTTTATATAAAAAAATGTAATGGAATGATCATATATAATGAAAGGGGTTTACTAATATCATGTTACATGAGATAATACTCGCATGTGAGTGATACGAATATATGGGGTCCACAATATAAAAAGAAAAAGATAAGAAAATATTGGAACAAAATTCTATGAGTATATGACATAAGATAATTCTCTTATGCAACATGAGACTATTATTTCCGAAATGAAGTAGAATGAGATAAAATAAAATTTTCTTCTTGTTCTTTTTTTTTTTTTTTTTTGAAAACTATTTCCGTCTTGTTCTTTAGTTATTCAATTATGAGATGGAAGAAAAATTTTATTCCATTTTCAAAAAACTTTAACAAAATGAATTGAATGACAATAATTATAAGTTTATTGTTATCACATAGCTATTATATCAACCACACTAAAATGTAGAATCAAAGAAGAAGAAAAAATTTCGCAAGTTTTTTCATCTCTTTATATCCTTTATTCCTAATTTTAGAAGAAATAAAAATTAGAGAACGAAGAGTATAAAACCAAATAAAATCTCCTTAATTTTATTCTATTATTTAAATATCTAAAAAAATCTTCTTTGTCAATTTATTTTATTTTTCTGTAAACCCAAACAAAACATCCCTGCATTCAAATTAAAAAACATTTAATTCACAATGTAACTATTACACAACTAAGCCATTAGAATTGGTATAGTTATAAGGGATTTGATAATTTGTATTAAGTTATGTGTTCAATTCTTTTTTTATATAAAAAAAATTAATATATTACACAACTCCTCAAAATAAAAATTCCATTACACAAAAAAAATTCCATTACACAAAAAAATTAGTTGATTTGGAATCAACGTCAAGTAATCTAGTAATTTCTTTTTTCCCAAAAAATATAATTAGAGAGATATGATATAAATTCATTAAAAATCCATTATTTACCAATTTGAGTTTTTACGTGGTTTATCAAATATGCGGAAATGAACATAATCATATTGGGTAATATTATTCTTCTATTAAGTACCACTTTCTTGTTAGAGAAAAAAGAATAAGGTGAGAAAAAATTTATTATGGAACCCATTTATAAAATGTCTATGCAGGAAGGTGATACTAATTTTTTTTTTTTTTTTTGGGTAAATACGAGGTGATACTATTCTGCTGTAACAAAAGAATAATATTACCCAATCATATATTAAAGTTTAAAAAGTATTTTGGTATGAAAGTTCTCTGTAAAGTTTGCACTTTGTTATTGAAGATGTTATTTTGGTCAAATTTTGAAAGTCTGATTTATGATAGTTAAAATCTTAATTTCATGTTACGATTTTGTGTTTTTACGATTTTTTTTCATCAAAATAATTTTATCAATATTTCAAACATTTTTACAATATTTTTACGTTTTGATCTTTTATCCCTCTTCTAATTTTATGTAAAATCTTGATTTTAACTATTTTTGTCTGATTTTCTTCCAGGTTAACTCATTGGTAATAAAATAAATCAAAATTAAATAGTATTGCTTTATTTCTGCAACTTTTTTTTGGGTTACAAAATATAAATCATCAAGCTGCGACTGCTTCATAACAAACGATTTGTTTTCCCACAGCAACACAAAGGAAGTGGTTGTGTTGAGTATTTATTAGGATAAAGAGGAACAAAGTATTCCCAAAAAAGAAAAGAAAAAAAGAAGAAAAAGGTAAAGGGGATAACAACGAAAATGGAAAATAATATTAGGTATACCAACTTCCCTTTCTTTGACCACAAAAACCCCAAATTAGCATACAGGAAAAAAGAAAAAAAAAAGAAAAAAAACACGATAATCAAAATGTCATTATGAGTTATGGCCGCCTTAATGGTTAAATCAAAGGAGTTTGTATTTATCATTTAACATGACACAAAAAAGTTTCTTACACACACAATATTTTGTAGGGTCCACATTTTTTGAAGCAAAAAAATAAATAAAAAACTACGGCACGCAAAATGAATCTCTATAACAT